ACACACACACACACAATAAATAAATGTAATAAATAAAAATAAATAAATATTAAAAAAAACTCAGTTTAAGAAATGACTATTGTAAAAACTTATGGTCCCAATACTGCTACACAAAAACTGTAAACTACAGACATATTAGATCTAAAAGGACAGGCCATGGAGATATAGCACAACGACATGAGCACTTGGTTGGCAAGTGCAAGGTCCTGAGTTCAATCCCTGGTACAAATACTGCTACACAAAAACTGTAAACTACAGACATATTAGATCTAAAAGGACAGGCCAGGGAGATATAGCACAACGACATGAGCACTTGGTTGGCAAGTGCAAGGTCCTGAGTTCAATCCCTGGTACAAAAAAAAAAAAAAAAGTGTAACATAGATCTAAAAGGACAAAAAGCCAGGCCTGGTGGCACATACCTTCAATCTCAGCACTGGGGAGGCTGAGGCAGGAGAACTGCCATGAGTTCAAGGGCAGCCTATGCTACATAGTGAGTTCAAATTTATCCTGAATTACACAGCAAGACAAGGAATATACCCACCTATTTACAGTCACTGATTTTTGACAAAGACTGCAAGAATATACTGAAGAATGTAAGTTTCTACAATAAATGATAATAGAAAAGCTAGAAATCTATAGGTAAATGAAAAATTAGGTCCTAACCTCTCACTACAGAAAAAAAAAAAAAAAAAAAAACTAAAAGTGAATCAAGACATGCACCATAGGGGCCAGGGAGAGGGCTCATTTGAATAAGCACTTCCCTGGCAAGCGCAAGGGTCTGAGTTCAATCCCTGGTTCCGCCAAAAAAAAAAAAAAGAGAAAAGACATGCATGAGGGCCCACACCCATCTTCCCAACTACTCAGGAGGCTAAGGCAGGAAGGTTGAGGCTAGCCTGTATAACTTAGTGAGAATATACCACAAAATTTATTTAAAAAAAAAAAGAAAGAAAGAAATTAAGTTCAGTGATAGAGCACTTCCAAGCATGTGTGAGGCCCTGGGTTCAACTGTCATTTAAAAAAAAACCCACAATGAGATCTCACCCAGTTATAATGACAATAATAGAAAATGCTGACCAAAATACAGAGAAAAAGGAACTATGAGTGAGACTGTACTTGGTTCCACCATTATGAAAAACAATATGGAGGCTTCTCAAAAAATTAGAAGTAGAGTAGAATAAGCGCAAGGGCCTGAATTCAATTCCTGGTTCCGCAAAAAAAAAAAAAATTATAAGTAGAACTACCACATGATCCAGAAAAGCCACCACTGGGAACAGGGAATATACCCACAGGAAATGACATCAGCATGGGGAGCAGACATCTGCACTCTCACGTCACCACAGCTCCACTCACAATAGCACAGTGCGTCCATCAGTGGAGCAGTGGGTACAGGAAACATGGTACTCACTCAGTGGAGTAATACACAACTATGAAAACAATGAGATTTTGTCATTGTGAGTAAAATGGAAGGAATTGGAGGATGTTATACTAAGTAAAACAAAGCTTAAAAAAAAAAAAAAGACAAATACCACAGCTAAAGCTGCTCTTGAAGAACAAAAGACTAGAGCAATGGTGCCCAGAGACTGGGGAGGAGAGGCAGTATGGGAACAGGATGGAATGACACAGGTGTAAGAGGGATGGAGACAGCGTGGTTAAATGGCACAGGAATGCAGGCGGAAAGCAGTTATTCTCAGGTGGAATAACTGTGGTTGACAACAATTAATTACACATAACTAAGAAAGGATTCTGCATGCTCCCAATACAAAGAAATAATATAGATCTGAGGAGACACAGGAAATTATCTTGATCTGATCATCACACGTTGTACATATGTATTGGTTTCTCTGCCACTCTGTCCCATAAGTATGCACAAGTCTATGTGTCAGTTTTAAATCTGTATTGAAAATGCTCCCGGTTCCACCAAAAAAAAAAAAAAAAAGAAAGAAAGAAAGAAAGAAAATGCTCATGAATGTGCGAAGGGATATTTACTACAACACTTCGTCTACTGAAAACAATGTACATGGCCAATAACAGAGAACTAGCTAAATAGAACACAGGACGCTCCTAAAACTAGCATGGGGGCCAGCCAGATAGCCCAGCAGATTAAAGCACCAGGGGCGGTGTTCCATGCCGGAGCGCTGTGCCTGCCCTGCCCCCAGGGTGCACTGAGAGGGTGAACACAGGAGAATCACTATGAGTCTGTGTAGTGAGACCCTGTACAAAATACATTAAAAAATAATAATAACTAACATGGAATTGTTAGTTTTCCATGAAGCATTTTAAAAAACCATAGATCTAGCTGCATGTGGTAGTGCACACCTGCTATCCCAGCACTTGGGAGATGGCAGCAGGAGGCTCACTGAGAGTTTGAGACTAACCTGCGTGAGTCTAAAGTTTAGTTATAGTGAGCCTAAAGTCAGCCTGGACTGTATAGCAAGACCCTGTCTCCAAAAAAATAAAATAAAAGGAGACCTGCAAACAGAGGACAATGTCACTGACAAATGCTACAGGGAGAAGCATACCATAGAATTATATGTAGAGGAGTATGGTCTGTTTTTCTTTCTTTCTTGAGCCAGAGCCTCACTATGTAATTCAGGCTGGCCTTGAACTCACAGCTATCCTCCTGCCTCAGCTTCCCAAGGGCTGGGATTACAGGCATGCGCCACCATACCAGGAGTACACATTAACTTAACAACAAAAGCAGATGCTGTCAGAGGTATTTTGGTCCAGCTTCCCTGCCCCCACTCCCCCTCCCCGCCCCCACCCCACCCCCAACCCTGCCTGACAAGTCTCACGTCTCACTGGGCCCAGTCCTCCACCCCACCACTCCTGCCCAGCCCCACTTACAAATGCAGGCAGCAGCAAGCAGGCGGCTGGCGGCGTAGGGGGCGTGGCAGCTCGGGAAGAGGGGCTGCACCATGTAGTTGGCAAAGGTGATGGCGATGATGGCCTGGCTGGTGGGTTCGATGATGAGCAAGGAGGTCCAGAGGCGGATGAAGGCAAGGAATCCTCCGAAGGCCTCCAGGATGTAGGCGTAGCTGGCCCCTGATTTCTTAATGGTGGTGCCCAGCTCCGCATAACAAAGGGCCCCAACGACGGAGAAGAGGCCCCCCATGGCCCAGATGACCAGAGAGAGGCCAAAAGAGGCACTGTACATGAGCACGCCCTTGGGGGAGACAAAGATGCCCGAGCCAATCATGTTCCCCACGATCAGGCACACGCCGTTAAGCAGCGAGATCTCCTTCTTCAGCTTTACCTGCTCTGCCCCTGGGCTGGCCTCATCGCCCAAGGCGGAGGCTGCAGCCTCTTGCTGGGGCGCCACTTCATACTTGCCCTTGCGGTCGTTAACCATGGTAGGGGAGAGGAAAGTCCTCAGCAGCTTCCTGGCATTGCCGGCTGGAGAAGAAAGGATGCGGTAGGCTGAGTGGCTGCGGAGACAGAAGCTGCCCCCACACCGCTGAGAAGACCCCCGCGCACAGACCTGGTCTCCGCTGGCTCACCTACGCAACCCACTTGCATTTTTAAGCGCAGGAGCTCACTCCCTGGAGGAAAAACGCTTGTCTCTCTTCATCAGGATGGCCAGCTCACCTGACTGAGCGTGGAAACAGCTCACACCTTGCTTCTCCTTGAGACTGCTGTGACCCAAGAAGTCCTGAGGGAGGTCTCAGCCTCATCCTGAGCCAGTCTTGTCACCCGTGCTGCAATGTACCATGAGCTACCAAGTTTCTGGGGCCTCATGAACCACCTTCAGCTGTTACCTTAATCCCTGGGAAAGAGGAGCAGCCCTACCCACTCCTGCAGAACTCTGGCAGCTTCTTCACCTCTCCTCCCTTTTCTTTGCCTAATACCCTCCCCAGGGCCCAGCATTTCAGGTCTCCAGCCATCTAATCCATCATGGTAGCACAGTTGCATCACCCAAAAAAATATAAGTGAGAAGAGGGTGACCCCTATGTACAGCCCAACCTAGGGCTGTGTGGCGGAGGTACTACCCAAAACCCAGGCAAGGAAACAGCTGAGGTGGACGGGAAGCAGGAACAGAGTGGAGACAGCTGAGAGGAAAACAGAGGAGCCACTCGGGCAAGTGGCAGATGAGACGCTAGACACAGCAAGAGAGAAAGCTACAGACTTGCAGCAGCAACCGGGGTGAGTAAGGAGAATGGGGCGGGGTCCAAGGAACACACACTCACGCCCTGGCCCGGGTTGAGCAGGTTCCAGCGAAGTGGCAGTCAGGAGACGCCAGGAACAGCGGAGGTCTAATGCTTCTCCCTTCAGCCAGCAGTGAAAGGGAAGACCAGACAAAGGCCCATGGATTTAAGTCCAGTCAAGAAGGGTGGAGGGGCTGAGGGAAAGGAAGAGGAGTGTTGGGCAACTGTCTGGGTCCAAGGTTCACAGGCCCTCTGCATCTGTGAAAGGGACAGCAAGGAGTTCTTGGCTCAGCACTTTTGCCGATAAGAAGGAGCTCTCAGGAATCTCCTTTGTCAGCTCTGCCCTGGGACAGGAGCCCCAAGAAAGCTAAGCCAGCTGGGTGTCACTGGCCCTGGCACCTGCCCTGGGATGAGAGTTAGCTGAGGACCAGATCCTAGGCAGATCACAGTACGTGCTCTTCAGCCCCACCCTCACCTCATTTCTCTTTCACCCCAAACTATTAAGAAAGGCAGGAAGGTTGCAGAGCTTGACCCAGAGGCTGGCTCACAGCTGAGATGAGAGGAAGTGTAAGAGCGGCCCCCACACCCCATGACTTGGCGTCCCAAGTGAGAACTGCACACTTCCCCAGGCACAGGGATGGTGGCTGCCTCTAATTTCCAGTCATTACCCCAAAGTCTGAGTGTCAGGATCCCAAAGGAAACAAGGTCAAGAAATAAACTCAACCCTTGAGTACAACTCCGCCCCACCTATGTGCCCTCTCATCCTTAGGCAAACACAGCCAGATCCCTGGACTATCCATAAACTCCTACAAACACCTTCTCCAACTACAGATTTACTCTATAATTTCTTTAAAATATAGGAAGGGCTAGGGGTGTAGCTCAGAGATACAGTGCTTGCCTAGCAAATTTTAAAAAAAGGAAATAAGATCCTGGCCTAACAAGCAGAAGTTAAGCACATTTTTGGAAAACATAGTTTATGCCATTTTTATTGTCTGCTTTAAATGTGGTATCCTAACCAAGCATGGTGGTATATACCTGTATTCCCAGCACTCAGGAGGCTGAGGCGGGAGGGTCACCAAGAGTTCCAGGCCAGCCTGGGCTACCTAGTGAGTTCAAGACCAGCCTAAAATTCTGTTGGTTTGGGTTTTTTGTTTGTTTGTTTTGCTATACCAGGGATTGAACTCAGGACCCTGTGCTTGCCAGGCAGGCGCTTAATAATTTCTGTTTGGACAGAAGTGCTATGACACAAAGCTGTCTTTTTTGTCTTTTTTTTTTTTGGTACTGGGGATTGAACTCAGGAACCTGCGATTGCCAGGCAGGTGCTTATGCCACTGAGCTGTCTCCTTGGCCCAGCCTGAAATTCTGAGTGTCTTTTGCCCGCAGAATACAACCCTCCCCACCCCTACCCTTGGAGGCAGGGTCTCACCTTAGTGCAAACTGGCTTTAAGTTCACTACGCAGCTTCAGCCTCCCCAGTGCTGGGATTACAGACATGTACCACCGTGCCCAGTTCAATCCTTCCATTCTGAAATCTGCTTGTCCTTTGTAGCCCCTTAAGCTTTTGGTTTTGTTTTTATTTTTATTTTTTTATTTATTTTTGTAATAGGGATTAATCCCAAGACCTTCTCACTATTACATTCCCAGCCCTCCTCATTTTTGATTTTTTTTTTGAGGCAGGGTCTCAAAAAAGTCCAAGCTGACCTGGAACTCACTACGTATCCTAAGCTGGCCTCGAATTTTCAGTGACCCTTTGCATCAACCTGCCAAGTGCTGAGAATACAGCCATGTGCCACCACCACTACCACCCCTCCCTTTTTTTTTTTTTTTTTTTTTTTTGGTAATCTCTAAATTGCGCAGGTTGGGCTTGCCCTTCCAATCCTATCTCAGCCTCCCAGTTTTGGAATTACAGGTGTGCACCACCATACCTAGGCCCTTAAACTTTTTATTTAAACCCAGCAGGAGCCTCTGGAACCAGGTCCTCCAACACAGCCTCAAATATATCTGAAATCCATCCAGAAGACACTGTCCTTTTCCCAGCACTTCCAGAAGTGCTCCTGGAATAGCAATAATAGCTAACATTTACTGAGCACTTGCCCAGGCCAGACACACTGCTAAGCACTGTGATCCCATTAAACTCTCCCTCCAGCCCCATAAGGCAGCTTGTAAGGTGCCAGAGTGGAGAAGGAGAACAGCTGGAGCCCAGCGCACTCGCTCTTAATCACAAAACTGTATCTGCCTCACTTCCCATTTCTCTATCTGTCCCCCCTCTGGTTTTTCCTTGCAGACAGGAATGCACTTCGGTGGCTCCCTAACGAACTGCCTGCTGTCTGCCCCTTTCAGCTTGAGCGTAGGCTAAAGCTTGTGAGCAACTGTCCTGGCTGCTCCTCCCTCTCATACTGGGCAAGGATGGCAGCACTGGGATTGCTAGGGTTGCCCAGTTCTAAAGCAAACAGAAACACACAGATATACATCCTCACAACTTCCCTTTGAAGCTCAGACCCACAGTACCAAAGAGAAGCAAGAATCCTAATATCAGGCCCAGGGCGATGGCTCAGTAGAATAAATGCTTCCCTGGCAAGCGCAAAGGCCTGAGTTCAATCCCCGGTTCCGCAAACACTGAGGAGCCTGAGGAGAGAAGTTGTGCATGACCGAATTCCAGACCGGTGCGCTCAGACAAGTGCACCCTGAAGGAATCTGGAGCGGGATCTGCCCCGGAGCCATCCATACACACCCTTGCAAGTAGCGTCCCCTAGCGGCCTCAGCTGGAAGTGCTGCGGGAGTGGACGCTCCGGCCTCTTCAGTCCCCCTCCGCTACCCCACCCCCAGCGGGTTGCCTTCCAAGAGACGTCCCTCTTTCTCAGCCCCTTCCTAGCACCTGGGGAAGGAAAGAACCACCTACGCCCTGAGTCAGGAGGTGACGCTTCCACAGTCCAGGCAGAGCCCCAGGCTCTCCGGAAGGGGCTCCCCCGGGAGTTCCAGAGGCCTTTGGGGCTGACCTCCCGCGTGAACTGTGGAGAGTGCAGAGCATGCACTGTTTCCACAACCTGTGGAAGAAGGTTCAGGTCCAAGAGTTCGAGGCTGTAGGACCCCAGCATGCAGCACCTGGCAAAGCAGCCAGGGGAGCTCCAAGCCGGACCCCACCCTCCAACCGCCCCCAGGAAGGGGCAGGAGGCTTAGCATCTGGGCTTCTCCGCCAAGCTCAAACTGAGGGCGAGATGGAGGGCGCTGTGAGCGCACGTGCTGCGTGGAGCCCCCACGGCCTCCAGCCCCCACATGCTCCCTGACCCCTGACTACAGAGGTATGCCGGCGTGGCTGGGCTCCCTATCACTCCCGCTCAGCCCCCTTCCCCAGCTCGCCGCTTGCTTTTCTATATTGTACTATAGTTAAGACCGTCCCTTTAAAAGAAAAAAGAAAAAGGAAAAAAAAAAAGTGAAGCAAGAACGAAACTGTTTACTTCCACTACAGGCACAGCTACCATAAACGGAGAGCTGAAGTCTCCAGGCAGAAGGTGCTGCCTGAGCACGGCTGGGACTAGGAAATAAGGCGTGCTGGGGTCTCCTCAGCCACTTACAGGGACTCTCCATCCTCTCCACTCCGCCTCTCCCCATCGTCCCTGTTGTCCCACCTCTTACCTGTCTCTGGGCTACCTTGGGGAGGAAGGACTCCCACACACCCTGCAGGAGGGGAAGGTGCTAGGTACTAGGACGGGAAAGGCTCCTGCTGCAGCCCTGCGGACTCTGAGGAACAGAAAGGCAGAGGGTGACGGGGACCGAAATGGAAAACAGGAAAACACATGTGCGACTCTCTGACCGGCAGCGGGGAGGGGCCAGAAGATGGGCAGGACCTGGGGCTGCCCGCCAGAACCAGGGGGCCTGGATGCCTGCAACCTCCGGGTACCTCCTCCACCCTGAGGCTCAACTTGTCCTTCCCACATTTACTAAATACTTCAGAGTCCTCTGCAGACCCAGGCATAGTGGTGCCCGCTTGTAAGCCACCACGTGGGACGCTGAGATAGGACTTCCAGAAGTTCAGCCTGGACTGTACAGTGAGTTCAAAGCCAGATCCTGTCTTTAAAAAAAAAAAAAAAAAAA